CTGCATGAGGACTCGTCACCCTATCGATGAATGTTATGTGCGATAATACGACAAACCAATCAGAATGCGCGTATGATTTCAAGTTCTTCGTCAAAGAAAACCTCACAAATAATTTTGATTTTACATATGTCTTGCATCTAAAAATATACCCAAGACGCAGTTAAATGTGTTCAATCATACTGTATAATTCCGCATGTCCCGATGTGCTTAAAATAGCATCTAAAATATATATGACATATGGGGAAATGTATGTGAACAGTTACGCAACGAGTTGACAATTGTTTTAGGTGTGCCCGTTTGCGCTAAGACAAAACCCGGTCGCAAAAATGGCCATGAGAGGGGCACGAGTCGCTCTTCGGCTTGTCCCGGAATAACACGAGTTGGTGACGAATGATTATGTCTATTGTTGTCCTTCTTAAGATTTTCTTACGCTTTGTTTTTGAGTAATGTCATGGTCAGGTACATAAGTAAGGCTACAATGAGTGAACGCCCCCTTTTAAAAAGAAGACATGGACCCCAATAGAAAGTACATGCGCATGTGTATATCGTCAAGTGGACCCCTTTTGCAGTTTGACAGGAGGCAGCTGATTGGCTGTGGTAGCTAGTTTGGCACATCGTTAGTCTTTTACATAACCGGATGGATTTGTATTAGTTTTGTTACTTTAAACAATACCAAGCCAATTTGTCACCTTACAATTGTGTGCAGATGCATCTGCATGATCTAAAAAAAATCATTTGAAAAACGATTTTCACTCTCAAATTTGGGGTTATTTTCTATATTGAATTTCTGGACGTTTCTGCAAACAGGCATGTGGTTTATGTCCGCTGTCGCGCTATCTGCACTGAAAGCTGGGACAAGAATACTTTTGGCCCGTTGTACGAATTCCTCATTCATATGCCCTGTACCGCTGCCAACAGTAGTAGTTTCTACGGTGATTACATCGTGAAATATTACCGAGAATAAATTCTAACTAAGCTGGTATTTCTGTTCACACATGCTACTTTCCTGCTCACGCCCGATTGTTTGGGCGAACATTTACATGGACGCACTGAGAAAATTGAATTCAAGATTGGACACATGGCTACTGTCGGTAATTGGTCCCAGTTTTTCTCAAGTAAAATCACGGAAAATAAGGCATAGTATTTATTACCTCAGTATTCCAGTGACAAGATCACGGCGCAAACACCCGAGAGAAGCGTACGTAAAATATGCATTAAGGTCGCTTGATAGGGATTGTAATAGTTTGTCTGGCAGATAAATAATCAACAGACACGAAAGCATAACAACGATTTCTTTCAAAAAAAGTATTCATTTGTATTTAGCCATACCTAACCAACAGGACACAACAGTTTTAAGCATATGGCAATCTAAGCTATTATAACACGGGCTAATTAATTGCATTCGATGAAATTACAGACATTTGCTCTGTGGCGTACCACAAAGGCAGCAAAACGACGAAAGCTTGATTCTCTCTCTCTCTCTCTCTCTCTCTCTCTCTCTCTCTCTCTCTCTCTCTCAGAGAGAGGTCTGAAGGAGGAATATTTAAATCATAAATCTCATGCAGTGTATAAAAAACGAACATACTATAGATCAAATACTGATTACTATAACAGTAATCTGACGAGACTTTTTAGCGACATCTTCTTAAACAATGTATTATGGCAAGTAAACATTGTAGAAAGTACCAAAGAAGTGATGAATATGTATACGTCAAATGACGTATTATTTATAAAAATATCTTACTTACAAATGAATACTATGGCAATCTTTCCCTGGTTTTCTTGAGAACGTGTACATTTCTAACACTGTGGCAACACTGGGAGGTGACAGCACGTGCCGGACTGAACATCGCGTGCACAACATATGTCACGTGATGCCTAAGGCTGTGACGACACACCAAGGGCAACAAACCACCCATTACTGCCACACACAGAGTAGTGACATTTATCTACATAAATCGGATGATACACATCTCAACAGAAGTTGTAGGCCAACGCTTACATATGCACACGCATTTGCCACACTCGCCCCTTTCCGTAACCTGCAAGCAGACTCGTCCCCTATGCGAAAATACGACAAACCTATCAGAATACGCGTATGACTTCAAGTACTTCGGTCAAAGAATCCCACAGGAATAGTTTTTGACTTTACATATGTCTTTAAAAATATACCCAAGATACAGTTAAATGTGTTCAATCACACTGTATAATACTGTAAGTCCAGCATCTGGACTAAATATGATAGTTGGGGGAACTATACGTGAATCATTGCGCAACGATTTCATAATTCTTTTCGCTATGCCCGTTTGCGCTGAGACGGGACACGATGCGAAGAATGTCCTCATGTTTAATTTCGTTTTACCTCGTTTGACTCTGATACTTTTGGGAGACAAATGTGACGATTGAGGCTGTTATTTTATATCTGCTCACTGAGTGAACATATATTTTGTCAGTTGGCTATACAACTGGTCATTATTGGCATTCCTATGGGCTGAGATTGTCCTGCTTGTTGATCTATTTGTTTATGTATAGGAGTCGGAATTTCTGCTCGGATTTTCAATGTTAAAACAAGGTAATTTGGCCAAGAGGTTTGGCCAAGAAGTTTGGCCAAGAAGTGATATTGCGGGAAAATTGCTAAAAGCAGCGTAAAACCATACTCACTCACTCACTCCCTATTTGATAGTGATTCCCTAACGCATGCTCATGATACAGTCGGAATCGTGCACTCGACTCTGCTTTTGGCAGAGATTTCTTATGAATATGGAAAAAAATTATCGCTTTTATTCTAATAAGTTTTAATCGATATCCATGAAACACCGGATAAAGGTGAGTAAGTAGTGTTTCCAAACTTATTGAGTGTGTAAGTGAGTTGGGTTTAACGCCGCTTTTAACATGATTCCAGTTATATCGCGGCGTGTCAGGTTAATGTGGGAGGAAAGCCCGAAGTGATGCATGTCTTCCGTGAAACCCACGAGCACGGGTACTGACAAACTGGGAAACATAATCGGGGCGAACCGTAATTTGAACTCACAATCATAGGTTTCTGGCGTGCCCATGGGACGCAACCCTGCTTCCAAACTTAGAGACAAAAAGCGCCAAAAAGTTTGGTGCCGAAGTCGAAATCAGTCGTTAATTCGGACTCTTTTAACTCGAATCCCGTGTATTCGATGTATCAGTGAAGACGATATAACACAGTGACTACGTCATCACATAACCCATTATCGACAGTTTGATTGTCCCGAACAACCAATAACTCGATATATTATCGATCTCCCCAAACATAAGACATCGATTTCGTAACACATATTACTTCCATACAACTGATCGTAATTTCAACACGCGTGTCCCGACCGTCATTTTGCTAAGACTGGAACGTTTTTATCGTTGAAATATACAACCAATGTTTATATTCGCTGACACTCTAGAACGTACATAACAGCTGTTCTTGTCGATGTATAGATTGCCACTAAAGTCAAGGACACGTACACACGCGGGTACCAGGTGTTTTGCCGGGTCTAATGTGTGATGGTTGGCATGTGGTTATGAGAAGATTTTAATGCTTGATCAGCGTTCCGTGATGTCTGCTTCTACAATCTATTGTATACACCTGGTGGGATCCAAAATCGATACGTTGGTTCACGAGATATTTGCTGTGGGCTTATTGACTTTTCCAAACCATTAATCACCCTGCTTTAAGGTTCGTGACCTGCGTGATTTATGATGTCAGAAAATAAAAGCTACTTAAATCATTAAATTTTTGTGTACGCAAGGTGGACTTAGTGATATAATTAAATCTTGTAATATCAGCGGTTACCTTTGCTCATTTCAGTTAGGTCAAGGCCACATTGACATTCGTGATGTGCCGTGTTTGTATTTTTTGCATATTTTCTAGGAGAGTTAATAGAATGCACGTGAGTGAGTGTGTGTGTGTGTGTGTGTGTGTGTGTGTGTGTGTGTGTGTGTGTGTGTGTGCTTGTACTAGTCCAGGCTAATGCCGATTTATAATGCTATCACACTGAGATACCATGCCGCAGTTTATCATAAATACCCCACTCAGACACAGTATACTGACTCCGAACCGACCAGTCCTTGTTTAAGCCCCTTAATGCCGAGCGCCAGACAGGGTAACAACAAGTACCATCTTTTAACATGTTTTGGTAATCGAACCCTTGACCTTCCGCTCTCTGGGTGGATGCTCTACCACTAGACCACGAAGGCGGTCTGAAAATGTTGACAACTGGGTTATCATGTACATACTCGATGACGTACAAGCCATCGTCATATGGCTGCAACGTTGCTGCATGAAACAAACAAACAATACCTCACTATTGTGGGTTCATGCTGAACGACGTCTGATTAGTGAAACGTTTCAAGATATTCTCATGTATATTATGGTGCATAATTGATAAACATTAACGCACCTGATATTTGTAAACTGTCAATGCAGAGTTATCTCATACGTATGTATCATATCTTGATACGTTGGCTCCGACAACCAGATACACGATACACGATACTCTAGATGATTCTATTACATGCTTAAACGCCTTGATGACTTTGGGGATATAAACTGAGCCTCAGCTGTTAGAGAAATTCTTTTTTTGGCATGGATTTGCATATGCGTGGATATCCCAGATGTTTGAAATAAAATAATGTTTAAACAACGATGTAAAGATATGTATTGCCAAGGCTGGTCAGCTGATATCAGATGTTCAAAGTCGCTACATGCCTGTTCCATGTTTAAGATGGAAATAATACCAGAAATGTATTCGATCTATAAGTTTTCGCAGATGTTTAACGAAGTTCAGATGTGGTAGACAAACCCTCAATATACAGTCACGTTATGGCTGAAATATTGCCGATGTGACGTTAAATTTTAACTCACTCACTCACTCATTCAATATACAGTTATACAGACATTCCAAAGATAATGATGTTTTCACATCGATGTGTCCTTTCTGCAAATGTTACCAAGAAGATGAATACCATGTGTTATTAATATGTCCAGTATATGAAGATATAATAATCGAATACCTGCCTAACTATTATTATACGTATCCAACACAAAGAAAATTTGTACAGTTAATGAATAGTAAAAAAGCTACATTCTTCTCAGATTTGCGTTTTTTTTAATAAAGAAACACGATACATTGGATATCAGTCAAACTCAAATTAGTACATCAATTCAGATCTATTATACGAATGGTTCTCCAAGACGAATTATCCTACAACAAAATGTCATTTTACTATTGGCCTCATGGCCACATATACGAAATAAATCTGTCTGTCTATCAGTCATTAGCATCTATATTTTATGCCAAATTTTCAGCTCACGTTGAATAGTTTTCGTATATCTCTTTAAATGTTTTGACCAAAGACATTAAAATTAAAGAAAATATACAAAACAGTCCTTCCTTTGTTCCAGATCACAACGTTCGGTTCAACAAACGCTTCCTCAGGTTTGGACGTAATTTCGGCGAGCCGTTCCTACGCTTTGGTCGAGGTGGCACTTCCCTTCTTGAAGATGACATCGACAAACGTTTCGACTCCTATGAGGATAAAGCCTACCTACGATTCGGCCGATCAGACCCCGGAGAAGACCCCATGTTAAAAGCCATACTACTACGAGGTGCCCCCAACAACAACGGCTGGCAATACCGACGTAAGCGTGATGCTATGGATGAAACAAAGGTCAAGGACAACGATCACAGTCGTCAACGTCGCTCGGTGCAGGAGCCGTCTATATCATCTGCCGATGCCATGAAAAGATCAGTAGATACCACGGACGATGTCCGAGTTAGACACCTTGCTAACTATGACGCTCTAAGCGACAGGGTCGACGATTTAGAGAAACGCTTCATGAGGTTTGGTCGTAATGGATGGCTTCATTTCGGTAAACGTGGATTTGAAGTTTGATTTTCGAACACGGACCCTACTGCCTTTGTCGACCTCGACACCCGACATACCAAACTGCTGATTCTGACTGAAGTTTTTTTGTTTTATGTCTATTTTATAAGAACTATTTTGAGACGTTGTTGACTCTATTCGCCTTAATGAATGGTCATACTGCTGACACTGTTTACTGCTGATGTTGGTCTATTGTTCACATATTGAGAATGCTTGTTTGAGATTTAAACATCATGCTCATCGCCGTGGGGGAGAGGGCATCTTCCTCTCCCCCTCAAAACAACATTGTGTCTGTTTCTCAAATAACATACATACATACATGACAAAATCCGCAGATCTGGAGACTGACCCTCGTTTGATGGGGCGTAGTTTGTTCGATATTTGCCGTGTTATGAGAGAAACAGGTTGTTGTACATTCCATCCTCAGGCCGGGGTTGTCTCCCCTTAATTTGACACAAAATAAAGATGCATATCTAACTAACTTTGTTGCATTTGTTTTGTTCTGATAATTGTAATGGCGTAAGTGTGGGGGTCGCCTAGTGGTTGAAAAGCTCGCGCGTCAGGCCCGGGTTCGATTCCCGACATGGATACGCTGTGTGAAGCCGATTGGAGGTGTCCTCCGCCGTGATATTGCTGGGATTTAGAAGCGGCGTAAAACCCAACTCACTCCCACCTTCACATCTATTAGCGTGAAACGCATTGTCCGAAACATTACTACAATACACACGTACATCTATAGGGAAGAGTGAGTATGGTTTATACGCCGCTTTAAGCAATATTCCAGCAATATCACGGCAGGGGTCACCAGAAATGGGCTTCACACATTGTACCCATGTCGGGAATCGAACCCGGGTCTTCGGCATGACGAGCGAACGCTTTAACCAGTAGGCTACCCGACCGCCCCACATAGGGAAGAATGAGGATACAATCGAGAAATGCTCGATGCATTAATTGTTAAGCATGTATCTCTTAACTTAGGGACATTTGTTCAGATGTGCCCCGAGGGAACCGCGTGAGAATAGGTCCCTAACACACTATTGCTAGGCGACAATGGAATCGGATGGCTAGGTCTTGGCTCATTGCGTATCATCGTACTCACACACGCTAGGCGTTGCTCATGTGATCAACCACTGGTTTGCCTGGTCTATTGTTAAAGTATAATGTAGGCGATCTGCCGCAAGTCTATGTTAAGAGTACGGGTGGCGATCTGTCGCAAGTCTATGTTAAGTGTACAGGTGGCGATCTGCCGCAAGTCTATGTTAAGTGTACGGGTGGTGATCTGTCGCAAGTCTATGTTAAGTGTACGGGTGGCGATCTGCCGCAAGTCTATGTTAAAATAGTTACAAAAGGATTTCCGTACCAGAATTTTCATGTGAAATATGTGAGGTGGGTTTTGGAAAATCCAAAATGGCTGTTACTGACGGAAAACGGTCTAATATTAGGTCAGTAACAACCATCTTGGATTTGTACTGATGGTATACGGGGATATGGGGTTAGTAGTTCTCTCTGATTGGTCAAACTCACTTTGAGATATAATCAAACTAAGTATAATGTCTTTTGACACAGGAGGTGAGGTGAGGTGAAATTGGGTTTAACGTCGCGTCCAAGATTATTGCACTTATATAGCGACGTGCATGCACGTGTATGTGTGTGTGTAGCTGCTTGTACTAGTCCGGACTGATGCCGATTTATAGTGCTAGCTCACTGAGATACCATGCCGCAGTTTAACATGAATACCCCACTCAGACACAGTATACTGACTCCGAGCCGACCAGTCCTTGTTTTAGCCCCTTAATGTCGAGCGCCAGACAGGGTAACAACAAGTACAATCTTTTAACGTCTTTTTGTATGACGCGGTCGGGGATCGAACCCTGGACCTTCCGCACTCCGGGCGGACGCTCTACCACAAGACCACGGAGGCGGTCCCTTTGACACAGGAAAGTGAGAATCTGATAATACATAACCCCAAACAAGGGCTTATGTCTGAGAAGATACAAGTACGAACGTTAATTACGTGGGCCATGTGATACACGCTGTGTGGCACCAACTTAACAACGTCATAGTAGTACATGAGCTTCTAGTGTCGGAGTTTAACACAGCATTTCGGAGTAACGTTGGAGCAAAGCCCAAACAGATGGAGATCGTGCTTGTTTACCACTGTGGTAAAACATAAGAACACCGGTATTTGGTGCTGAGAGACCATGACTCTTGGATTCGAACTCATCGTAGTTAAGTACATTGTCCTGTTGTCTCTAAACTCTAACCGACAGGTAGTTACAAGGTGAGGCCAGGCCGTTTTTAAACTTGGTTTACGAATCTGATGACTCCAAAATATTGAAATGTGACATATAAAATATGAAAAGGTTTTTATTTCGCCTACCAGAAATAAGAAAAATAACGAAACCAACTCGTTTACTGTCTCTATCAATATAAATACATTATTTAAAATACTAAAATTAAAACTGTTGAAAATCTAGGGTAAAAAATTCAAAACACAACGAATTATGAAGAACCCCTTTTCCTCCTTTGTAGCACAGTGGTTAAAGCATTCGCTCGTTACGCCGACACCAGGGTTCCATTCTCCCGATGGGTACAATGTATGAAGGACTATTTGTCTCCCCACCCACGTTACATTTTGAGGAAATCAACCGACCTGAACTTTTAGGTCCCTAATCCGTTCCACTGATAAATCTATCCGGAAGAAATTATTTGGAATAGGTCTGGGTTCTACATTTGATTGTTTGTAAGTGACATCTATTTCTAAGGTTATGATTGCTATTATCAGTGACTTGACTTGGAATAAGATCGTTAAGATATTTGGTGAAATACCATTTTATGTTTTGTAAAATGTAATCAGTTTGATGCCGTGTCGTCTTTCTTTTGAAGATTGAAAAATATCATTATATATTTTGGCATGACTGGAACCACAAACTGCCCCGAAAATAGTCCTCGGTGCGTCCATATGTACATTCTCGCGTAACAATGATTGGTCGTTTGGACAATTGACCCACATGTGACATCAGCAGTCGGAGTCAGGCTGAAAGATGTGGACATGTCTCCAGCATATTTATTGCTAGTCTGTATTTAAAACTCCTTTAGCATTGTTGATTGAATATGGTTTTACGCCGCTTTTAGCGATATTCCAGCAATATCACGGCAGGGGACACCAGAAATGGGCATCACACATTGTACCCATGTCGGGAATCGAACCCGGGTCTTCGGCATGACGAGCGAACGCTTTAACCAGTAGGCTACCCGACCGCCCCCGCATTTAGCAGTAAATGATTAGACTAACCTTTTTAATAATTCTATTTGTAATTTGATTCGAATACAAATTTTGAGCTATAAGCATTATTGACTACTTTTCGGACGCTACTTTCTAAATAACTTTCGATCCATTTCAGAAGATCGCCTTGAATGCCGTAGGCTTTGAGTTAATGAATGATCCCTTTATGCCATACTCTATCGAAAGCTTTGACAAAAAACGGCTGTAATTTATTTAATTTCGTCTAATGCACTTGCAATAAAAGTATATAGTTGCGTGAGCTGATATGGGGCGAGTGAGTGAGTGAGTATGGTTTAACGCTGCTTTTATCAATATTCCAGCAATATCACGGCTGGGAACACCAGAAATGGGTTTCACACACTGTACCCGTCGGGAATCGAACCCGGGGCGTCGGCTTTAACAATTAGGCTACCCCGCCGCCCCTGACCTGATATGGTGTTCAGTCACCTGGCATATATGCCGATTGTAGATTAGATCAGCAGTTCGTGTTTTCCTGAAGAAGTTCAACACATGTTTCAACATTCACTTTGAAAGCTTTTGGCTGAACAACTTGTGAGTGCTACAGGTCTATAGTTTGTGCATTTGTGTACATCGCCTTTTTATGAATTGGCGTTACTGATGCTTGTTGAATTCCAACGGGACGGAAATGTTTTATTCTAGAGGGATAATTCAGATAACTTAGAGCTGGACAAATCGCTGTTTATTTTAGTAACTTGTTACTTATAATTTATAAGACTTTACTTCGATACGTTTATGAAGTAAATACCGATGTAAAGTCTTTGCGAAAATGCATATAATAGCCGTTATGTTTGTTTGTTTGTTTGTTTTTGGGTTTTTTTGCTGTTTAACGCCGCACTCAGTACTATTACAGCTATATAACGGCGGTCTGAAAATAATCGAGTCTGGACTAGACAATCCAGTGATTGACATTATGAACATCGATCCACGCAATTGGGATACGATGACATGCATCAACGAAGTCAGCGAGCCTGACCACCCGATCCTGCTAGTCACCTCTCACGACAAGCATAATCGCCTTTCACGGCAAGCATGGGTTGCTGAAGACCTATTCTACCCTGGGTCTTCACGGGTCAGCTGTACGTAGAACAATGGCCTTGACAGGTAATCAGCGCATTGACTCGAGCAACACGTGTTGTACCTGGCCAAACATACGAAATCTGTTATCAATAAAACATGTCACGGTCCACGAAACGTCAGGCCAATGGCGACACATTGTACAGGTATTGTGGAATGTTATCGACTATCTTGATGTCAGTAAGTGTGTAAATGTGCTCGATCAGCACTAAAACCTCGCTTATTTTGACGGAACATATTATCTGAAACTAAAGAAGACGCACCTGTGCTTGCATATTATAGGTGTTCAGACGAGTAGTGTGTCAAAGAGATTTTGGTCAACTCCGCTTTAAAGAGTATTTAAATTAAATTTTAATCAGTATACAATAAAAATAATAATGATGATGATGATGATGATGATGATGATGATGATGATGATGATGATGATATAAGCAAAACAACCCTTTTCGTAATCATAATAAAGCTGTGCTAAAAGCAGAGCCCATTAATGGATTCCAACCAAATCATAAGCAGGTGTTTAATGAAATATAAGCGACATAACCATTTCGATATTCAATAAATCTCTGCTAAAAGCAGAGTCGATTGTACGATTCCAACTAGATCATGACCTCTGTGGGTGTCAATCAAC